AATATTTTTTACTTAGAAAGTATATTGCTAAAATTAATTGTTAAAATTTTATTATAAAAATTAATTTTAAAAAAATTGATGTAGACAAATTTGTCTGTGTTACAATCTAAGGGATAAGTACATGATTTATTCTTTTTTTCTTTTCCCAATCTTGCAATATATAGAACCAGATATGAGAAGACATAAAAAAATTGATAAGTTTTTGATTATTTTTAATAATTGAAACTAAAGAAGAGAAACTGGAAATATTTTTTGCAAGTAGATTGAATGTGTAAAGACAACAACAGATAGAAATAGTGTTTGGATAGGTGTTTTTAAAGTCATTTTCCATTTTAATCATAACAGAAGAGTTATCAGTTACATATGTAATAATTGAATTAATAAAAACTAAATTTGATTTAAGAATCTTTTCTAGTTGCTCTTTAAGAAAGATTGCTGTATGCTGGTCTAATGATAAATCAACAATATTTAAAAGATACTTTTTTTTTCTTTTAGAGCCATATAACCATAAACTAAGTTTCTAGATACATCTTATCACCTATCCAAAACAATAGTAACATCTGTAAGTAATATTATCAATTCAAATTTCTTGTCCAGATAAATTGAGAATGAATTATTAAGAACATTAGTTCTTAAAGGATGGGTTGTAGTTTGGAACTAATTCATCAAGAAATTTAAAAAATAAGGGTTCTTAATGAACTTGAAGACAATATTTCTATAAATAATAGCATTGAGTAGTTTTTTGTCTATTTCAACTCATTTATCTTGTGACATCAGTTTGACAACCTAATTTATCAAACTTTCCTGATGTTTTACTCCTGAAGAAAGTGAGCTATTAATAATATTATAAAACATCTATTAGCCAAATTACAATATTTGACTTCTGTTTAATTTACTAATAGCTATTTCATAAACACCTTTCATAATAATCAATTCACAGATAAGTTTATTTTACAGATGATCAATTTACTAGCCAGTTCATTTTACTGAAATTCATAGATAGTTTATTTTATGAAAGCTTATTTCACTAATGAAGTAATCATAGATATTATTATTAGGATTAAAACTGAAATTATGATTAATGTTAGTACAAGTATAACAAAAAACTTGTATGTATAATAAGTTATTAGTAAACCAAATTTTTTATGAAATAAGCTGTTGATAAAATGAGCTATTTGTATAATAAACTTGCTAGTGAATTGATTATTTGTGAAATCATATGTTTATGAAACAATGTAGGTTCAAGGATTTATATTTATGTTTGTAATTACATATACTAAATATTTCTGATTAGAAATAGAACTAATTTTGTCATTTTTTTGAGAATTAGAACCAATAACTTTTTTAATATAGTTGCTCTTATTAGTAACTGACCAAGAGTCACATTTGAGAACATGGTTATGGAACCTTTCAGGTCTGCCAGCTAGTTCTAACTTACAATAGAAACATTTGACTTTCTATTTGTTGCCTGCAACTTTTTCTTCTGAATGCCAAAATCCAGTTCACTGAACATTATGATTTGTCATGTCAGAAAAAATAAAACTAGTAGAAGGTTGGAATTGCATTATAATTTTTTTTTAAACAATATTTTATCACAATTAATCGAATATTTTTTTGTTGTAAGTAAGGTCTTTATAAAGAGCATTAGATAATAGTTTTTCTTTATATATTTCTTTTATTATATCAAAAACTTTTTTGTGTTATTATGTATTATAATATGCATTATTCTATATCAAAAATATGAACCATACAAGTGAAAATCTGTAAATTGGTGTTTTTGGTTTTTGCTTTTAATCTAATTATTAGATCTTAAGATATCACAATTAAAAGCAAAGATTTAAAATGCTGATTTACAAGTTTTTTTATTACTCATAAATCATTATCTCTGTCTGTACTTTTATGTGTTGTTTATTTTAGCAGGTAAATTTACCTGCTTTACAGATACGATGATAATGACTTTGCTAACGTGTATTATTCAGAAGCTAACATTCCACATGAATGGTTTGTCAAATAAGCAATATTTTTTATTAATATATATATATATATATTATATATATTTATTACATATTTCTTAGAATTATTTTGTTTTATAATTAGTGTTATCGATTACCTCCAATTACTATATTTTGGCCTATGATTAACTACTGCTTATTTTCTTATTTTTTTATTGCTTCTTTTTCTATTGCTTTTTTTTCTATAATCGTCTGATCTAGCTCTAACTTTAATGCAAAATAATATAGAATTGGGAATTCGAAATGTAGATAAAGATAATCAATTAAGATATTCCGTTTACGTACTGCAAAAATAGTAATCCCTTAATTTTCTTGCATACACTTAAATTATCCAAGGTGCAAACTTGTAATAATTAATAATTTCTTAATTTTTTACTTACACTTAATTTGTCCAAGGTGCAAACCTGTAATAACTTGAGTAAATTAAGGTTATTTGTACAATAGTCATACGTGCAGTGAAAAAACTTCGCACAAGAAAAATATTCAGATGTGCGTGTGTAAAACATATATGCGCAGACAATTTTGTTGGCATAATCAAATGGCATGTGCGCTTTGCGTACTAGATTTCAAACTGGATTTTTTTTACGTACACTACATACGTGTAGTAATTTAAGTAGCATAATCAATATAACGATAATCGTTAAAAGTTTCGCATTCCCACATCTTCCTGAGTACCTCATTATCAGGCATACCGAAAAATTAATTGCAATTGATTTTTTTTATCATACGTTATACAATTAAAATCAATTAAATTTAATCGATTACATTACTAAAGTTGACGCAGTAAATTAATATAATAAACGAACATACGGTATGTAACCAATTATGTAATTTTACAAAAATTGCAATTGACTAGTTGTGGCTGCGCCATCAATTAATTGAGTGCGAAAAATTGCAATTAATTGCCCTCACAATCAATTATTCAGTAGGCCTGCTCATTATTAAACAATTAAATTAGTATTTTTTTAGAAAGAACCATTTTTTAAGTGAATGTGGTTCATTAATTGTAAATAATAGCTTGGTTTTTTTATTGCAATTTTATAGTATAGATGTATATTAAAATATATTTTATTAGTTTATATATTAAATGGCATGCCAAGTAGATATTAAATATTTTGGCATGCCAGTCACCCTACCCTGGGTATAGAAGGGCATGTCCTGGGCATAGAAGGGCATGTCCTGGGCATAGAAGGGCATGCCCTTCGCAAAGGCATGCCTTCAGGGGCACGCCCCAAAAATTTGCCGTGCCCTCAACCTTACTTTAAACCCCTGAAATTGATGATGACCACCAAATACGTAGTACAGTATTTCTATCAGTATTATTACCATTACATGATTTGATTAATTAGTACAGCATAAGGCAACCAATTTTTTATAACTTTTTTAAAACAAAATAAAAATCCTTATTTCAAATTTATACTTTTTTACTTAAATAACAAATCTGAAAGAGGGATTTTCAAAATTTTTAATTTTATAAAAGTTATTACAATTTAAAATATATGGTTTTTAAAAATTTGACGTATATATTATAATTTTAAGAAATTTGATTGGGTAATATATTTTTTTTTATCATTTTCATCATAAAAAGTTTTTTAAAATTTGGCGCATTGAATGTCTTATGCTGTCCCACACTATACATCGGAAGCCCAATTGGACACCCCAACGTGCCATGAAAGATCTTAAATGAGTGCGTAGTGACTTAACATAGTAAATCATTATATGCACCCAAATACATTATCGTTATGGCGTTATACACGTACATACATACTAACAAGAATGGTAATAAGGACCTGCAAGCCTCTAATTTTTTAGGCATGGCCGGTCTGGCCTATTTTAAATAATAACATAACGAGAAGGATAAATTTATTTAATTGTAAATTTTATGGAACTCCCTTTAAATATAGTACATGCATACGTAGAAATGTACGTACATACAAATACAGCATATTAATGATAATCTTAAATATACATAATAAAAAAATAAAAATACAATTTTTTTGTCTAAATACCCCCCCCCCCCCAGTGACGTTCATATGAAAGACATATCGGTGTAATAAAAAGTGCTCATGGGTATGATAAATGATGTGAACATAGCATGAATACTTTAGTACTATAGAATATTTTAAATAAAAACAATGCACACCAAAATACCAATAGGAAATCATAATGAAAATGAATTATTAAGAGTTTTCAATGTTTCTATTATCCCAGTGTAGAACATTCAGTAATTATAACAATACGCATGCTTCTCTTTCCTCGATTCTTAGGCCTGTTATGGCCTCCATTTCCTCAGCAACTCGTTCTCTATCGTCGTCTTTTTGTTTTTTATGAACTTCTTTCGGGAAGTAAAGACCCAAGAAATTCATCAAACATACGTCCAAGTTGTCTAATAAAACCATTTTGTTATTGAATTATCAAAAAGCAAAGTTTATAAACTAAATAAGTGAATATTTGTCATATACGTACTTGATTCCACATTATATACAGCATCCTTTGCCCGACAAATTGGACAATTGCGCATGCCTTTACGTCCAGATTTGACCAGACATCTAACACAGAATACATGCATGCAACAAAGACGAATAGGTTTCCAGGCGACATCTATTAAAGTAACTATGTGAAAAAAAAGTCTTACGAAAGGAAAGGGTTTAAGAAAAACTTACTTAAACAAATGGGGCAGTTATAATCGTCGAGTTGAGGAATAATGGTCATTAATTGCTCCTATTTATATTAATCATATTAGTAAAACAATGCTATTAAAATAAATATTTTACTGAATATTTTCATGAATACATGTATACCATTTCATAGCAAAGGGATTTGAAATTATTCTTTGAGAGAAGCGAATACTTTTCTATTAAATATTGGAAGTTTTGGCAAGAACTGAAAAAGATCGATAGTTTTAGCTTGGTTGTAACGGTAATTATTATTAGATTGATATAGCGTGCAAAGCTTACACTAGAGATGTTTTCTTGTCATGCTTTTTAAGGATTTTTGACGTCGCCTTTTGGTTAATGTCTTGAAATTGTTTCATTGCAACAAGACTACGATTAAGCTATTAATATCAGTTTAAATAAAAAATAAATTAAAAAAATGTTAAAGGCATGGTCACGTGATAAGTATGGTCAACGCATTCACGTACCTTTAAAAACACCTCAAAAGCAGATTTAGATAATGGGTGTTTCAGCTTTTTAACCTGTAAGAAAATATTATTAAATCGCATACAATTTTTTTTTACCAATGCTTAAACATTTCCGAAAATAAATTTACCAAGCGGGATTCGTTAATTTGATCAACGAAATAGGTTAATTGGTTTTGAGCGGATTCCCAACTTCTTTCTTCTCTATCGGACTCGGTATTGCCAACGAAAATCTTATTTTCTATATAAATTTGAAATATTTGGCGCCAAGTATACATATCTTTCTCAAAGGGTGACGTCTATTTAAAGAGTAACTTTATGTAAATTGATCATCCTTGATTCGAAACTAAACTAAAACTAGAAACTTACGACTTTGATCAACAAGCTTTTTAGTTTTTGTAGTTTATCGAGAAATTTGTCTTTATTTTGTTTTTGAAGACAATTTAGTTGATAAATCTCTTTCAAAAGCATAAAAAAAAATTCACCATCAGCTTTAAGTTCGATGTGTGATGTCCTATTAATAGAAATCATTTAGAAATCATTATAATCATTGTGAAATAGTATTGATATAAAAATTGTTGTAATAATAACCTAGAAAGCTGATTTAACCTATTTTTCATGTGAGATGCTTCATTGTCTACCAAAAAGGATAGCTTCATATTATCATCGTTCGGAAGGTTTAATGGCAAAGATAAAATCGAATCATATTTCTTAACATGCAAAGTTACTTCAGAAGAACGTCCATAGCAGTTTGAGCAAACTTTAACACATGGACGAACACAAACTGGGCCGTCTATATTTGAAAAGTAAATGTAATTTTATTGTCTATTTGACCTATATAATATGCAGTTTACTAAACAAACCTTCGGAAGTACATTCAGGCTTGTAGCATTCAAAACTATACTCAATTTTGTAACCTTCGTTAGCCATAATTTGAAGTATGCCTTTAGCATTTAGTTCCTGAACAATTGCTTTAATGCATCTTTTAAGGGGTTTGTATTGAATAAGGAATGGTTTCCAGTCTGAAGGAATTTTTTCCAGACTACTTTCTAAAGTTTTGCTGAATTTCATGTTTAAAATTTCTAAACGGGTAAGGTGATATAATGATGTATTATTTAAAAAGATTGACGAAATAGCATTTTTATCTCGCCCTCTTTCTTCTTTTTTATTTGTGGCAGGTAAAAAAAAAAAATCGATAAACTAATAATTTAAGTCATTCATTTACAATATATATTATTTATTAAAGAAAAGGAAGTGGTTGGGAAAAAAAGGAAATCGCAAGACCTCACATGATTACTTTTCTAGACAATTGTGTTATGTTTGGCGCGATTTTAGTAATACAATTCCTTTTGATTAGTTACTAAAATGGAATTGTGATCATTAAAAACAAAATTTGTTTTTTTTTTTAGGATCTGTTGTTTTTAAATGCATTTATTTCGAATTTTTAATTCTTGCATCTTCAACAAAATGTCATTTCTTTCAATTTGAAATTTTTAATTCACACATTTTTTCCGTGATCAAATGACGTAATTTATACAAATATATGTCGATACAATATCCATAATTTATATATTATGTATATTATATACATATTATCAACGACAGAATTGTGGCTGTAAAATAAATTATCTGCTGCGATGTTACTCAAACTGTTCGGGACGGCCCAAGCCATGTGATAGATAGTTAAGCATTTAATACATTTATATTGTTGAAGCCTTGTGAAACATATATTTTTGGTCCAATATAAATGTAGTTTGGGGTAACATTGCTAATAGAGGCAACGTATTGCCAGATCCCTAACATTACATAACTTTTTTTTCTTTTCTTTTTTCTTTTCTTTTTTTTTTTTTGATAAATAAAAATGTATATAAATAATTATAATAACCAATCATTTATGTAAGGATGTACATTGCGGCAGAAAAATCTAACCTCTAAAACCACTATCAAATTCCCATATCAAGTGCCGGGGGCGAAAGTGTGAGTCTTCTATTTAGAGCTCTATATTACGTCACGAGCTCTCTGAAGGGTATTATGGAACTTGTCACAATATTTCGCTGAGTTTTATTTAGTACCAACGTTTGATCATGGGTGCTTTCAAAATCAGGTGCATACGTATAAGTACAAAACCGATTAATTAAATGAATGTAATTAATAAGCATTATATGAATACAGTCAGAACTTCGTAAATGCACTGCCGTCGGAAAAATTTTGAAATAGTGCACTTAGAGAGTGTGCATTTATAGAGTAGAAATTATGTATAGCTCTTATGAGTCTGGACCAGACTGTGCATTTAGAGAGTTTTTACTTAGTCCGTGCATTTATGGAGTTCTGACTGTATAGTTAATAAGCTATAATAAATTCTATTGCAAAAAAAAAAAGTTTTTTGTGTTCAATTATACCGATCTGTACTAATTCGGATTCTTGTTTGCAATTTTCATAAAAATTTAAGATTAATCGAAAAGTTGACCAAGTTAACAACTAAAAGTTCCCACGAAAAGTCTACAACTATTATTATAGCATGATTTGTACGTATGACAATGACAAAATATTTACGGGCACCAGCACTAGTTTGTAACGAACTTGTATTACGATTACCAAATTGGTTTCCTTGATCTTCGTATAGCCCAGATCTCAATTCCATTAAGAATACTAAATCGAAATATTAAAAAAATGGGTCAAGGCAGCGATGATAAAGAAGCAGGACATGTTACTAGCAATTTTTAGACAATAATAAAGGAAGAAATGGTAAATATGCATTACTTTTATGACAAAGCCTATATCACTACTGAAGGGGACAAATTAGGTCTTGAGATTTTTATTCATATGTTCCATATCTAAAGCCGTTCAAAGTTGAATAATTGTTTCACGTCGACAGTCTTGAGGGGGAAAGGGGGATTTAAACAAACACATACGTACAAATTATATTGGATTAAATCTCATTGGCCAACTTTAATCACATGGTTATTGAATATTATCCTGCGCTGTGATTGGCTTGTTTAATTTCCGGGAATGACTATTCAACTTTGAACTGCCTAAACACGAATTAAATTTTTTATTGTTTGGTAGAGGTTTATATGTAAACCATTTTTTTGTAATAAGAAAAGCTCTTCGTTACTTTCTGTAAGAACTGTAATCGATTTAAAATTTCGATCCAACTAATAATAAAAAAAATTTTATCTAAATAAATCATGTGATTATTGTTAACCAATAAATTTACTTTAATCGCAACTAATTTTCAATAGTTGGTCCAACTAATCGATCAGAAAAAATTTTATGATTTTGGATTCAAATGCATAGTATTTCGTTTAACTTATCGATCATACTAAGTTTAAACGGCTTAATGCTACTAATCGAAATTCAAAAAATAATTTCGACAAATCTCAATAAATATTTTTAAGTGATAGATCTTATTTAGTATAGATTTATATACATAAATTATTACAAGAGTATAATTTATAAAACCCGGACGTATCACTTATCAAGAAGATAATTTTAGTAATTAAATTATCCAAAATGGGCCACTAAAGATTGTCCATAAAATGAACCGTTTGCAAAATGAGCTGTTCATGAATTGAATTGTCTGCAAATTAATTGTCTTTAAAATTAACCTGTTTATGAATTGATTGTTTATGTAATAAGATATTTATAAAGTAATTTTCTGTAAAGTTAAATTCTAATTATTTATATGCTTACTTCTATTAGTTAAAATAATTAATTTATAATATGTCGTACCCCAGATTGGAATCGTCCCAATTCAGAGTCGAGTGCCCGGATGAAAATCTAGTGAATTGTTTGGCAGAATTGGGGTTTATTAATAAAAAATTTTTAATTTTGGCTAGTATAATTCAGGACAAATTACAAAATTCTCATCAGGGACTGTTCCAATTTGGGGTACAACATATATATTTTAATATTAATATGATTTTTTAAAAGCCTGCATGTTTTATTTAGATTGAATTTATATTAGAAATTATCTTGTACTAGTGATTCTGTTACATATTTATAAGAGCATATATAGTTTTATGTACAACTTTAGTTATTGCTTATTTAAGGATTTCGGAATATTACCATAGTTATATACTATAAGTTATATTTAAGATTTGTTTATAAATATTTTATTTAAATCTTTTGATTAATGTTTTTTATTATATGTTAACTATTATTCTTCTAAATAGAATCAAATTGTTTTATAACTTTTTTAAAATTTGAAAATAGTAATAATTCTATAGATTGAATTAAAATAAACTTTCAAATAAGTTTAAGTTTGATTTAATTTTCAAATTGAACCAAAACTTAAATTTTTTTTAAAAAAAATATTTTATTTAAGTTTGATTTTAAATTTTTAATCAGGTTTAGTTTGGTTAAAGTTTGTTTAAAAATTTATTTATTATTATTATTATTATTATTATTTTGTTAAAGTTCTTGTCTTTGAAAAGTGATTTTTATTCAAGTATATAAAAATAGAAGCTTTAAAGAGCTTTTTTACATAGAAGGTTACAACTAACTATATATGCATTTTTGATGTTTAATTTAAGTAATCTGCCTATATATTACAATTTGATTTTATTTAATCAAATATTTGCCTTCAAATTAAAATTAAATCTAAAATTTTCAAATCAAATTAAATCCAAATATATATATATATATTTTTTTTTAAATATTTGGTAGCCTTGTCAATCACCTTTATTAAGAGTCTTATATACATAATTTTGTACAAAGTTGGCTTAAATTCTGGCTTGACATCTTCCAGTTGCTTCTATGAGTATTTAGAAGTGGTTTGTTACACTGACCAAATATTAATCTGGCCAGAGTGTTATATCAAGCTAGTCATTAGAACTATAAAAGAATGGTCTTATCTTCTTTTTTATATAATCTCTGATCAAACCTAACCAAGAACTTTGTATTTTTTTTTTTTTTCTTTTTTCTTTTTTTTTATAGTTTAGATTTGATCTTTCTCTAAAACTTCTTCATCTACTTCTTTTATCAGATTTCTTACTATATCATTTCTTAAAATGCTTTTTTTTTTTTTTGTTTGCAGAGCTAATTCCATTTGCTTTTTTCTAGTTAGTAACTACTCACAATATTTTTTTTATATATTTTTAAAAAAACTATTCTATGTTGTATTTGTCCATATTGTTATGAACTCTTTAGCTTTTTTAAAAATTTAGGTGAGGCTTTGTATTATTATTTTAGTTTTTTCTTAGATTAGTCCTTTTATGCTTTTGGATCTATATTCTTTTTTTCTTTCTGCTGAGTTTCTTTATAAGATTTCTGTTAGTTTCAATTTGTTTGTTTTTTTTTGTATTTCTTCTGAAAGCCCTAACCAGACCAAATTTATAGTTAAGTTTTCTGTAATAGTCTAACTTTTTTCATGATCTTTACATATAGCTAAGTATTCTTGGTCTTCATTGCATAGAATGCAGTATGGCATTTTATATATATTTGGACATCTTTTTGTTAGAGTTTTCAGTATTAGTAGTTTTTTGTTAATACATTTGATTAGCATTGTGATTTCTCTATTCTTTTTTACACTCATACATCTAACTCCACTTTGACTTCTAACTTTTTTTTATAATAGTAACTATTCATGCTCTTCTTTTTTTTTATTTGGTTCTAATTTTTAAACAGTTGATATAAATCATCATTTTGAGCCAAGTTTAAAATCTAAGATGTCTTTGACAAATTGTCTTGTTGGTCTTTCTATAATTGTTTCTTTTTAATAAAATAATATGTTTGAACTGGATGATAGTATTACTATAATTTTATCTCTATTTTCTATACTACTTCCTTCTTTTGCTATTTTATCTATTCTAGTATTCTATTTGTTATCATTATGTTTCTTAACTTTAACTAATTCTAACTTTATTTCTTTTAATTTGAGTAACTCTATTATACTTTTTTTCAAATCATAGTTTTTTTCTTTAATCCATTGTTTGCTTCTTTTTAGCTTTTTTTCTCTTTTAAAACCTAATATTGCTGCTGTACTATCTGTATAGATCTTAATTCTTCTTTTTTTTGATGCTATTAAGATTACTAACCAAATCACTAGTAGTTTTGATTTTGTTGATGAG